TTATGTCAAGTATTGTTTACGCAATTGTCTTGTCACAGGCGACCCAAGGTCACGTTTCGAGAAAGAGCCAACGATTAATTCACGAACGCGTCACGCGTTGTGTGACTCAGAGTAAGTTATTCTAGGAACCGTTGAAAATTTGAACACGTTATAAGGAAAAGTATAGGGAACGAAATATGGTCGATTTACAACGACAAATATTTCGAAATATGAAGATTTTTCTCGAAAAATCAATAAAACTTACTCATACCCTGTGTATCCGTTGTATTTTCTGGCGATTTCTGCCGTTTTAAGCTTGCTTTACCATCACTGTTATTCACGTCATCTACTTTTATTACATTGGTAAAATCTGTACAGACATCACACCAACCAACTCGCGCGCAAAGTAAGAAGACTACATTGAAGGCTTGAAATAATATTGCGATCGATTTTCATCAAGAAATGGGCAAGGAATATTCCACAATAGTGCAAATAATCGTGAAGGCGGATCGCAGAAAAGCGATTGCGTGACGCTCGGTAAGCTGTAAGATGACATGTTATTATATACCAGACGTAAAAACTCTTCAGATTCTTAGTCTGCATTTTGTACCCACTCTACAATCTGCAGTCTATATTTTGTATCGCGTCTACAGTCTGCTGTCTGCATTTTGTACTAACAGGTATCCGTGGCACCAATACAGTTTATTTTTGGTTACATTTATTCGCAAAACACACATAATCTACCACAAAATACCTGTGAGTGAGGTAATTCGACATTTTCGTTCTTTCCCTCATTAATATTCTTCTCTCCTTTTGTAAGAATGTAGACATCGCTCACAATGTTTCAAGTAATCCACCCACCCTACAAAAAAGTAACTCTTGCATGCATAGCATGCCTATGTTTTGAAATAGGTGTATGCCCTTAGCCAGACTTGAGCGCACTATTTCAGTATACTAGTCCGACACCCGTAGTATCACTACACTTGATTCCAAGGATCCAGTACCATCCAGGTATCCCAGTTACCCTGCTCGCAGAGTCTAGTTTGTTTTTTTCCTCCGCCATAAAATGGAAAAATTGCGCAATAGTATCCAGAGGTCATTGGGCCCTCAACACCATGACAACTAACTGTGATCCAATGAGGTGTTCACATGCTGATCACGCGTGCTATCTTGATGATGATTGACGTTGTCATGCACGGACAGGGCCGGGTCACATGACGAACACGAGATTTTTGCCCATAAAACTATTTTGTCAGTCGTTTTGTATTTCAACGTAATTGGATTACGATCATTTGGAGCATTATGGAGCAAACGCTCAAAATACTTATAGACGCATACACAAGTCGTATTGTTCGCGGCCAATCCACACAAAAAGATGTTATTGAGCGGTAATTTTGGATCGGACAGAATCGCGAACGCTTGAAAGCCATGAAAGCATTGAATGCCTTGTATGTCTTGTATGCCAAGTATGCCAATGTCTTAGGTGAAACTGAAGAACAAAATTCAAATGGATGCAAACTGCTAGTGAAGAAAGACGCCATGTTGGATTCACTTGATGCCAGGGAACGTAGCTACGATAACAGTGCGAATGGTATTAATTTCACGATCAGAAAGGTGAATCTTATGTTTGTATTCATTGTAGTTGTATGGATATTCTTTTTTAATAAATACATGATCCAAAATCCCGTTTTTTTTTGTGTATAATGTTATTATGTCAAGTATTGTTTACGCAATTGTCTTGTCACAGGCGACCCAAGGTCACGTTTCGAGAAAGAGCCAACGATTAATTCACGATCGCGTCACGCGTTGTGTGACTCAGAGTAAGTTATTCTAGGAACCGTTGAAAATTTGAACACGTTATAAGGAATAGTATAGGGAACGAAATATGGTCGATTTACAACGATAAATATTTCGAAATATGAACATTTTTCTCGAAAAATCAATAAAACTTACTCATAACCTGTGTATCCGTTGTAGTTTCTGGCGATTGTTGCCGTTTTAAGCTTGCTTTACCATCATAATAATAATAATAATAATAATAATAAAATCTTTATTACCGTGTCAATGTATTTAGCTCATAGAGCTAATTGGGGACACCTACTATTACTAAATTAATAGAAAAAACTATGTACAGTATCATAATAAGTAACAATATAGCCGATAAACTATGCATTAAAATTTAAAAATATTCAGAAATATTAACAATGTTCAGATAACATAAAAATACTTGTACCATGCAGATAATTAAAAAAAATCACGTGCTGCAAAGATTGCAGCAGTTGCCACTGTCTTCCACTAGGCTGACCAGGTCAACTCTACGGATTCTAGTTTTAAAGATACTAAGGCTTGGTAGTTCACGCATACCATTTTCTAATTTGGACCAAATATATGGTCCTTGATACCTTAGTGTGTGTTTACCATAGCGTATAGTGTTAAATCGTGGTATTTCAAAGTCACTATTCCTAAGGTTATAACGAGTACCCTTTCGAGTAAATATCTCAGGTATGTAGCTGGGTACTAGATCGTTCTTTACTTTATACATTAGTATTGCTATGTCCTGTAAGCGTCTATTATGAAGCGTAGGCACGCTTAAGAAGTTCCTCATATGTCTCTGTTGTTGTTTTGAAGACCGCACGCAGGGCTCGCTCTTGGATGCGTTCGATTTTGCGCCCATCTGAAGATTTACAAAAGCTCCAGACTAAATGACAGTATGTTAGATGTGGCATTATAGCTGTTTTATACAGTATGAGCTTAGCTTGGCATGGTATTAGGTTGCGCAAGCGCATGAGGACTCCTACTTTCTGGCTGGCTTTAGTGCATATTTCGCTAATGTGTTGTGTATAGTTAAGGTTCTTGTCTATATTTACTCCTAATAGCTTGATTTCTTCAGTTTTCCTGATCGCGTCATTGGCGATGGTGAGAACGCTGCCCTTCTTATCTGCATCTATGTTTCTTGGGTTAATCGTAAGAGACTGAAACTTATCTGGATTTGCCAAGAGGAAGTTGTCCCTATACCATAACAGTGCTTGTTGACCCTGAGTCACTAGAGTAGATTCGACTTCTTCATAGGTTTTTCCTGTCACATATAATTGGTGGTCATCAGCATAGAGCGTAAGGTTTGAGTCAGGGATATGAAATGCCATATCATTTTGGAACATGTTCCAGAGGAGAGGGCCAAATGACGATCCCTGAGGACAACCACGTTCCATAATTCTCCATTCACTCGTGTGGCCATTTATTTTTACTCTGTTTAGCCTGCTATCAAAAAATGATCTAATCAGTTCAAGTGAACTGCTATTAAAACCGTAGGCATCCAGCTTTTTTAGAGTGAGTGAATAGCTTAACGAGTCAAATGCTTTACTCATGTCAGCAGATAATATTGTTACCAGCTCTTTTCTGTCCACTGCAGACCTCCAGTCTTCAATCAACATCAGCAGGGTTGTCTCACAGCTGTGTTGTTTTCTATAAGCTGTCATCCTGTGGTACAGAGCAGGGTCATAATGTCTGGTCACTTGTTTGCTGAGTAAGTGTTCAAAAATCTTGTCCACACATATAAGTGAAGTGATTGGACAATAGTTCAATTTGTCTTTTGCCGTCTCCCTTTTTAAATACAGGGGTCCATTCGCCTTTCTTCCATTCAGATGGCCACTCGCCTAAGTCAATACAGTTATTGTAAAGTCTAGTCAGGGATGGTGCAATTCCTTCAGCCACTCCCTTAAAGAGTTTTGGTGGTGCTGTCACATCCCACCCATACGACTTTCTTACATTGAGATTTTTAAGAGCACACTGCACTTCCTCTTTGTTAAATTCTTTGAAATGAAATTTATTCCCCTTGTAACCGCTTTCAATAGCCTTGACACTACTGTGGTTCCTATGATCATTCTCGGTTAGGCTGGTGATATGGTTGCCCCCTATATTCGCTGCCACCGTATTAAAATGGCCTGCTAGGAGTTCAGCCACCACAGTTTGGTCTTTCTCGACCTCGCCATCTTCAGATTTCAAACATATAGCATTGGTGTCTTTTGTCTTTGTACTGATGAATGGCCTGAATGTGTTAAAAAACTCGCTGGGCTTAGATTTCAGCTCTTCCGATTTTCTATACCAGTAGGCCTTTATTGCCTTTCTACGTTCCCGTGTTGCAATGTTCCTGTATTTTCGTTTGAGCTCAAAGTTTTCAAGAGAGCGATCCTTTGCAAATTGAACTGCAAATTTTCTCTTATCTCTGATGGCTTGCTTCCATTCTGGAGTCATATAGGGTATATCTTTCTCCCTGACTCGTTTCTTTTTAGTAGGTGCGTGTTGATCCACAACGCTCTCAAACAGTCCCTTCCAATAATCATATTGATCGTCCACATTACAAAAAATCTCTCCTACATGCCAGGGGGCAGCCTCCAAGTCCCGGTTAAGCTGTTCGAAATCAGTACTTTTTGTCTGCCGGAAAGTGGTAGTGTGAGTCTTGTGTTTGTGGACTTTCTCCATCATTTCTCCAAACACCATATGGTGGTCACTCATTTCTGGCTGATAAACCCCACATTTCTTGAACAGTTCAGGATTGTTGGTTAGGATAACGTCCAAAAGTGACTCCGAGTGAGCTGTAACTCGGGTGGGTTCAGTTATCATGCACTGTAGATTATTGACTTCTTCCAGGTCCTTCAGAAGTTTCCCCTCAGCACGATCCAATCTCAATCTGTCCAGATTAAGGTCCCCTAAAATGATGACAGACTGCTTTTGGAAACACGCCCACTGACAGATGTGGTTAAGCTCCTCCTCAACACTTTTAAGATCCTGGAGGCTGGACTCGTTTCCCTTCATTTTCTGTTTTGGGGGCCTGTAGATTGACAGAACTAACAAATCATTGCTTCCTATCTTCACCTCGACAGCAATTGCCTCGAGGGTCTTGTAAGTCTTTGGCAGAGCCCGCTTCTTAGAAGGCAGAGCTGAAGAGAAGTATGCTAACAGTCCGCCTCCACCCTTTTTTCTGTCTTTTCTATACATGTGGTATCCTGGGAGGTTAAATTGACTGTTGGGATAGGAACTATCCACTTTTGTTTCAGATATTACTATAATATGTGCTCTAAGGGAATTGTTCAATGTTTTTAGTTCTTCAAATTTATTTTGTATACTATTGATGTTTAGATGAACAATAAGGGCTCCGCTTGAATTCCTTTTCCTTTCCTCAACGATTACTCTCCCAGGGGATTCCCGTATGCAGGGTTTCATTACGTCCAATGTATTTGCATAAACAGCTTCGCCAGCATTGTTATCACTATTATTCACATCATCTACTTTTATTACATTGGTAAAATCTGTACAGACATCACACCAACCAACTCGCGCGCAAAGTAAGAAGAATATGTTGAAGGCTTGAAATTATATTACGATCGATTTTCATCAAGAAATGGGCCAGGAATTTTCTACAATAGTGCAAATAATCGTGAAGGCTGATCGCGGAAAAGCGATTGCGTGACGCTCGGTAAGCTGTAAGATGACATGTTATTATATACAAGACGTAATAACTCTTCAGATTCTCAGTCTGCATTTTTAACCCATTATGCAGTCTATATTTTGTATCCGGTCTGCAGTCTGCTGTCTACATTTTGTACTAACAGGTATCCGTGGCACAAATACAGTTTATTTTTGGTTACATTTATTCGCACAACACACATAATCTACCACAAAATACCTGTGTGTGAGGTAATTCGACATTTTCATTCTTTCCCGCGTTAATAATCTTCTTTCCTTTTGTAAGAATGTAGACCACTTACAATGTTTCAAGTAATCCACCCACCCTAGAAAAAATAACTCTTGCATGCATAGCATGCCTATGTTTTGGGACAGGTGTATGCCCTTGGCCAGACTTGAGCTCACTATTTCAGTATACTAGTCCGACACGCGTAGTATCACTACACTTGATTCCACGGATCCAGTACCATCCAGGTATCCCAGTTACCCTGCTCACAGGGTCTAGTTATTCCGAAAAGGACCTGAGAACTAATTTATTTCCCTGGAAGAACTTAAACAATTATGGCCGACGATTCGAAGATCAGCGTTGCTCGTGTTTAACTATTTCAATCATAGTTTTCAACATGGCGTCTCGTCACTTACTCAACATGGAAAATAAGGGATATTCTGGCGCGTTGGGAAGTTTTTTGATGGGAGGAAATGGCAATTTTACAGGATATTTGGACGCTTCGAACTCTGTAGCAGTCAATTCGAACGAGAGAAGTTGACTTTATCGATGCACTCTCCTGTAATAGGCGAGTGTTTGGGATGGAGAACGACGGATTTTGAAGAACTCTATGGCGACCTAGGTCAATGATCAATGACAAAAGAACTGGCTCGAGAAGTGAGTGGTTTTTATTTATCGAGTCCCTGTGAGGTTTGATGAATAGCAGAATCCGTACTGAATATGTCTCGATCGAGAGCAGACGGGACCATGAGCTCCTGATTGTTATATTTTATAAATTTTACAAATTTCCATACAATTTCTTATATTATTTGGACGCCATTATGGACGAAATGCGCAAGCGCGGCCGCCATCTTGGTCAATATTTCTGCCGATGAAGTCAAGCTCTCGATCAATGGTTCTCCCATCAATACAACTACATGCTTCAAGTACCTCGGCCTTCATCTGGAACCGACACTTAATTTTGACACACATTGTCATAAAATGTACAAGAAGGCAGCGGCAAGAATGAACCTCTTACGGCGTATCTGCTCGCAGAATTTTTTTTTGGGATCACTTTCTGAAGAAGCTTAGACACCAGGCTCAATTAGGCAACCAAGCCTTCTGATGATTTAACAATTTTACCCTCACCTCCCCCGACTGGTTGAAGTGCGGTTGGAGGGGGACAGGGAAGGAAACATTTTTTGTTACTTGCGCGAGAAAAAATAAATGGGAAGTTATCTATTAACCATATGTTTTTGTAATTTTCGCGGGAAAGAATATTACCTTATCTCGCTGCGCTCCGTTCAAATACGAATCTTCTGCCTTTGGCTAAAATTCGCTTCTTCGTGAATTCTAAACACTACTCACGATCAAATGGAACCAAAGGGAATTTCAAACCAAGGAAATACTTGCCTCTGAATAGTGTCTTACAAGCTCTGCTCTCGGTGACATGTTTTTCCGAAGGACTCGCCGGATTGCAGCACAATCGCAAGAAGTGCACCTCATCGAGTACAGGTCTTGAAAATGTATTCAATTTTTAGAAAAATCCCAGCAGGCAAACAACATTAACCTTTCGGTGAACTGCGTAATTGAACCAAGCACTTTTTTTAATGGAATACAAAATTTGTCATAAGTGTAGTAATCCGCTTATTTATTCTTGACATTAAGCTTATTTCGACTTAATAAAGCAATTGGTATCAATCATACGAAAATACGTATTTGACAACTTGATAATCTTGTTAGAACGTCATAGGAAATTATACCTTTAAAGAAGCTACGAGTAAAATCTGTAAAGCCTTTTCACTGTTTACAGCGGTAAATTTATATTAACCGTGGAAGCTTTGCACGTCTAAGTTATTTGCTTGATTATTTTTTTGACGTTGTTGTGTTGAGCATCCATCTGAAGTGTGCGTGTATGAGTGCTTAGGATGCAAAGAGTGAAAACGGTACGCAAACCTAATAATTTCAACCCCTCTACCCCTCCCAGCTCCACCCTCTACAAAAATGAGTAGTTTCTGGACCATATTGACTTGAAATTTTACACTTGGTAATTCCTAAATTCATATCATGACTGTGCACCACTGAGGCCTTGCATTAATAAAAAGGCTATTCTGGAATGTTCCAATAATGACTCTGGGTCAGATGCGTTTGCAACAAAGGATGGAAAAAATGAATTATTATTATTATTATTAACATTATTGTCATTACTATTATTGTGTTACGTACTCTTAACCAAATTTGAAACTTTACCACTCCCCTCCCCCAAAACAGCTACATGTAAACAATATAGGGCCTTTTTTAAAGTCCTCACAGTTTAATGCCTCAAGGCTTGCTGGTTTGACAGTCAGTAGAAAAGTAATGAAAAAATACATTCAGTTGGATTTAAGTGATTATAATTCAAATTTAAATATCAATTCCAACTGAGCAATGACTCGGGATACAGAAAACAAGACATTGATTGCATTATATTAGGTGGCTTGATCCAAATGAGCCAAGAAAGCTTTTTTTTTGTTGCTTTGTACCTAATCATAAAAAGCCCCATATTCTGTAATTGTAAGTCATAAAGTGAAATTCAATACTCTATCTATATTCAATAGACCTTACTGCAGTTTTCAACACCACCTTGATGGGTTGGTGGGCAGGCATGACCTTGCAGTATTTGTATGAGAATCCAATGTCAAATAATCTTTGTGAATTATATTAGGTGGCTTGATGCAAATGAGCCAAGAAAGCATTTTGTTTTTGTTTGGTACATAATCATAAAAAAGCCCCATATTCTGTAGTAGTAAGTCATGGAGTGAAATTCAGTACTTTAACTATATTCAATAGACCTTACTGCAGTTTTCAACACCACCTTGATGAGTTGGTGGGGAGGTATGACCTTGCAGTATTTGTATAAGAATTCAATGTCAAATAATTTTTGTGAAAGTTCTATTACGATAAAAATATCAGTAATATGGCAAACGTAAGCAACAGTTGTACACGTTACAGGAAAAGGATTCTTCTGTAAAAACATTTTCTTCCTGCAGACTAAAATTTCCTGAAAAAAATAACAAACAATGCATGGAAATCTATTACAAACTACAGGGAAAATTCAAGGACAGGTACAGCCATAGCCACTATGAAGTAAGCATCCCTACCACTCCCAAAATGCATTGTCAGTTTAAACATTAGCTCAGTTTTGTGTAATCAGATTAATTGTTGCTCAGAGTGCATTATTTCATGGCAACGTACCTCAACAAGTTAGGCATACATATAGTATATACCACAAAAGCAAATGATTTCTGTTTTTATCGCTAATTGAGATATCAGATCAAGAAAGTATAAGGTTATTAATAAAGAGTTCAATTTTAGCTGAAAGCTTTTCGAGTTATTAATTTGAAAATTTACTGTACGTTGTAAAATTACAAAGCAAAACACTAAATTTAGGTTGTAAAACATTGAAATACTTACTTACTTACCTTTCGGTCTCAAAACGTTTTTCTCTTTGCTGCTTTAAAAATTTGAACTTGTGTTTACTATTCGCCGAAGTTCCTTGTATTCTCTAGTGTGACAAAAAAGGGCACGCAAGCAAGAAAAGGCTTGGGCACAAATTCAGTAGGCTTGGCTACTGAGTTGGGCCTGGTTTCTAAGCTCCTTCAGAAAGTGATCCCAAAAAAAATTTCTGCTATCCGCTCTAGTATTGATACCTTTAGCGCCCAACGAATTTACAAATCGATGATTGTGCCAATATTTACGTATTACGGGTATAAAAGTGTTGGATGGTCTGAGTCCCGCAAACGCAAAGTAAGCAGTGAATTAGTAAATACTCATACTTGGTTGAGTGCTAACAAGCTTTCACTTTTAAGTGAATATTGAATATTAAAATATTGATAAGTCGAACTTTGTCATTTTCCACCCTCCACGAAGAAAGTTACCCTTTCATGTCACACCCTCTTGAAATGGCACTAACTTAAATCAAGAGTACTCAATAAAATATCCAGGTATTATAATAGATTCTAGTTTATCTTGGAAAAGTCAAGTAAGCCATATTACTAAAGAGATTAAGCGAAATATTGGGATTCTTTTTAGACTTCATTATCATGTGATTTCAGATATTCTGGTTAAACTATATAATGCTGTAATATATCCCTTCTTAACCTATGGCTTAATTTTTTGGGGTAACACCTATTCTTCAACCACTCACCACTTGTTCATTTTACAAAAGAGAGCAATACGAGTGATGACTTTCTCTAAATTTCATGAGTATTCTGGTCCAATTTTCAAATGCTTAAATATTGTTAAACTGCCTGACCTTGTCTTTCTTGATATCCAGTCTTTATGAATAAATTTCGCAATAGACGTCTACCATCTGTGTGTGATACTTTCTTTACACAAGCCAATAAGACATAATTATAATACATCAAGTGCCTCGAGTATGTTCTATACTTTATCTGAAGTAAGAACAAATTATGGAATTTATAACATAAGATTTAAGGGCCCCAAAGTATGGAACTCAAGTAGTGAAAATTTGAAAACCTTCTCTATTTCAAACTTCAAGGAGTCAGTAAAAAGCAATTTTGTCAAAGATTAGTTACTTGTTTTCTTATTAGCAGTTGTGTAAATTCTGTCACCGTTTCAAGTTCTTCTTATATTAATATTTTGTATTCATCTATAAATTTAACTATTTTAGACTTCCTTCATAGCGTAGAAATAGCGTTTTTCCTCGTCTCCCTTTTTTATGTGTGCATTTGTGCTTCAGTTTTCTTGCTGACCTGTAATTTTATTTTATTTAATGCTAATGTGAACTGGCTGACTGGCTCAGCTAGCCCCCATGGTTATTCCAGGCAGCCAGTACTAATTTTACTTATAATATTTTCATTAATATATTTTATTGGGCAAGAGAGAGTACAAATAAAGATTGATTGATTGAGCCTGGAAAGATCACCTTCTGTCATTCCCCAACATTCAAGGCCATATCTTGAGGTGGATAGGACACAGCTCTGGTATAATTTTAGCTTGATCTTGGTGCTCTACCACTGGGACCTCCATACATAGTTGAGCATTTTGACTGCATTTATAGTCTTGCCTAAGCGGTTCTTGATGTCCTTGTTTGCTCTTCCACCATGTCTGACTGTGTTGCCCAGGTATGTGAATGCCTCCTTTGACAAGAGTTCCTCGCCAGTTGCTTTGTTGCTCTTAATAGTAGGGAGAGGGAAACCTGAAAAATACTGCTAAATACCCCAAAGCAAAGAAATGAGGCAACATTCAAATATCTTAACAACACTTAATTTATCAAGTGTAAGTTAGATGCACACATGATGTAATGATAATAAAAAAAGAAAGTCCAAGACTGCATGTACATGTGGCCTTTGATAGAGCGCAACTATTATAGCACTGAAAAGAACTAGGGGCTGTGCAAAAAGGAAGTGTTGCAGAATATTAATTTTGTCTCACATACCAAAGGGAAAACCTGCTGCATCCCACATAATTATGGGTAACCTGTTCCACAAGAGAGAGATGTTTCAAAAATATATTGTCTAACTGACATTCAAATAACTTTGCAAATAATAATATTAACAATGATAATAATGATAACAATATATAAAAATAATTTCAAGGGGCCAGCTTGAATTGAAAGCCCCATGGTTCCCCAGTCCTCTGGGCTCCAACAATGACTACCTATGCTTTTTTAAATTCCAACTGTTAGTTATAAACAACTTTGTTATTTTATTGCAATTCCATTTTTCAATACTTTTCTCATACAAAAGGCATTCCGCATATTAGGATATTCCATCATTCTGTGTCTTAAGATATTCTACCATTCCATGCTATTGAATAACTTAGGGTATCGTGTTTTGCAGCTTACTTTCTTCACAAATTTTGATGGCTCTTTTTGGCATAAGTCACTGATTCAAACAGTAAAATGCTCTCTTTCCAAGGAAAAAAAACTTTCCTTTAAGTTTCCTGGGTGTGCAGATCATATCTATCGAGAGATTTCTGCAAGGAAACTTGTGATTTAAATTATGGGTGAGTGGATGCCACTGTGAAATTATTTTGAGATGTTTGTCATCTTTTGTAGTGTTACAGCAAGAACTGAAAAGATTATATCTTCGGATCTACATAGTTTGCTGACTTAAATGGTAAGCTGCTCTATCTTCAGAGAAAAACTTTCTCTCCTAGGTTTTATGATGCACCGATCACACCTATTACAGTATTTCTGCAAAGAAAACTTTTGCTTGCATGCAATCCTGAAATGATTGTGAGATGTTTATTGTCTTCTACTGTTTTCCATAGTGTCACCATGGCAAGGGCAGAAAAAAAAACTGTGCCAGTGATTCTGAGCCAGAAATCACAAAAGGAGAGAACTCAACTGTATATTGAGCGTGAATGTCAAATTAATAAGATACTCCAAAACAAACAATAAGTAGCACTGGGAAAAACCAAGTCGGAATTGGGTCAAGATTACAATTGGGTTGTTAAAGTCACTCACTCACTCACTCACTCACCTCAACGACATATTTGGCTCTGCCTTCCATAGGAGACAGTAGCTATGGTAATAATAATAATTATCTTTCTCCATTCGGGGTAGCATGAAATATTACAAGATAATTTATGTGGCCCTCATTAAAAAAAACATCAATCTAACTTAGTAAGTTCGTTTTCCTAATTTTGTTGATAAATGAAGTCAGGGAGGTGCAGTCCTTTATTTCAAGGGGAGGACTGTTTAAATTCAAGCCACACTAAATACAGAGGAACACTGTTTGCATGAGCCTTCACTCGAGGTAGAATTAAGTTTCTGCAATCGTTTTGTGTGTTCCTTGAGTGAACAGTGCTGAATCTTTGAAACTTTTCAGAGAGATAGCTTGGCAGCATGCCTTCAGTGCCTTAAAAACTTTTTGGGCTTTCATTTTAGCAAGGGGTGTCAAGTTCAGCCAGAGAGCACTAGTAATTATATCTATAATACTAGCAAGAGAATGTAACGCAACATCCGATAACAGAATATATACTACAATATAGTCAACCTAAAATAGATCCTGATACTGTAAACAAAATGACAGCAGATATTCTTTAGCACAACTTAGGGTCAAAAGCATGTTGAACAAGACGCATAACTGCATGAACTCAGGCTTGTTACGGAGTCTCGAACTATAATATGCACTCAGTAAAATATCTAGTGAACCCCCTCAATACTCGTTCATTGAATCTTGATATGCAATAGGCGAATCCGATACGCATACGCGGTTTTCTACCGGTTTTACGGCTCATTACAGTTTGTTATTGTAAATCAAAGAACTCAAATTCCTTGCCACACATTGTTGTCCTGAATTTTGTCCCAATACTAGTGCTGTTATTGTTCTGTTAGGGTCAATGTATATCTGTCGTCAACTTAAATTTACAATAATTAGATATGTTGGTCTCGGTCTTATAAAGACACAACTCCACTACAGGAAAAACAATAACAAATACCGTCTAGCTTTGTATTTTCACTAAATTATCCTTTGATGAACCCTCCTGGAACAATTCAGCAAAATTTTATGATTTTATTTAAGTTTATTATCTTTGTACTACGCTTATATTTATGTTTTTCAATTTTTGAAAATTTTTCTAACCTTCACATGAGTGTAACATTGCAGCTTGGAAGACTTTGGTGTACTTGGGAGAATACGCTTGTAAACAAATTCCTTCAGTTTTCTGCTTTTGTTCCTCAGACACTTCAGAGTTCATAGCGGTATTCTACTGGGTTCTCGATCACGTCTAAATACACGAATTGCGGTGATTTCGCCAACGTCACGTTCGCCAACGCGATGAGTCGCTTGGCCAACGTCCTACTGGTCACTTCGCCAACGCCAAATATCTAGTAATAACTTAGTAATAGCTTAGTAAAAAGGGTGCTTACTGATGCTTCGGATGTAATGCTGATACTTGGGTCAGAACATTTTTAAGTTAATGCTAGTTTCGCTTGGCTGACTTCCAAACAATTTGCATATTTTTGACAAAAAGCCGGTGTGTGAGCACTAACATCGCGGTAATTTAAAACTGTTGAATAACAAACTCCGATGGCTTCCAAATGTGTTCCAAAAATGTATAAAAATTTTACTTGAAAAATGCGTTACGATGTGAATTAACGAGTTACCATTTTTCAGAAGCAATCAGAGTTTGTTTTCCAGCCTTCAAAACGAGTCAGAAATAAAATATAACAAGTATAATATCAACAACATTTTAATTACAATACGTACTTTTATAAATATTTACAAGAGCAAAATATTTTAGTGGAAAACCTATTTACAAAACCTGCTGATTCACAAAATATTTTCAATGCAAAACTTATTTACAAAACCTTCTGATTCAAAAAAAATGTTTTAGTCAAAACCTATTTACAAAACCTTCTGATTCACAAAATATTTTCAATGCAAAACTTATTTACAAAACCTTCTGATTCAAAGAAATGCTTTAGTCAAAACCTATTTACAAAATTAAAACCTTCTGATTCTCAGCTTACTTCACGCTAGTTCAGTTCGTTCATGATCAGTTAGAGCGCGCTGGTCCATTCAAACGCGAGCACGTCCTGAGTAGTTGAGCAGCGGTTTTCTCGTTGTTCTCATACTTCTCCCAACTTGCGAATAGTTTTGCCTGAATGTTTCTTGTTGTACGTCGTTGAATTCGTTTCAGTTTGTTGTCAGAGACCAGCCTAATTGTAATAGCTGTGAGTTTTGCCTCCCGATCAAGTAACTCAATTAAAAGGTATAAGGGCAAACCTCATTAACCTCCAGCTCTGCGATTGAGGGCGTTATGCCAGCCTTCCAGGTCGTTATTTGTGCGGACGGGCTGCTTGTACACGCACCAGTTTCTTGGGGTGAATACTTCACTTTCAATCCACTGTCGTCGGATGTACTGGACAAGTCTCCCCAGCTGGTCGGTCTGGGCCTGCTCCTCGAGTAGGTCGAACATCGGTTGGATTTCTGGATACGGGAGGAACGGGAGGGCCATTAGCTTCCTGATGTACTTGTAAACGGAATCGTCGTCCATGTACGCCCTTTGGAGGCCAAGCCCTTGTACCTTAAAGTAAAAAATGGTAAAAAAGGTGTAAATAAAGTACAGTAAAAACCCGTGACCCGCATTTTAGACGATAATGGATTTTAAGTAAGTTCATTTTAAGTAAGTTCACTGTCAGATGATATAAGAAACTAAATAACATTGGTCACGGTTCAGTTTTGGTCAGTGTAATGAGTTTTTTTTTTACTTTTAGGAGATGTCTTCTGTTAGGTGTAATATAAGCAACAACAGTTGTATAAAAGAGAAATTAGATCCTCCATCAACTTATTTTTTTTTTGCCAAAAAATGCCGCAGAGATAGCCAAATCTTCTCGAACTTTATAATCAAAGGCCCCAGCCAACGTTATCGCAGCCTTTTTCTATATCATGTTTGAACACAGACATGTCAAAACGAATCAACATTAGAATTTGGAGTGTGAAGTCATTGAGAGGAAGTTGAGGCAATCTTCCTTTTCTTTGTCTCAGGTATTCGCCTCTTTGATTCTGGCATTTGGTCGACTGACGCACAGGAACTCTCGTCCTTGATACATAAACTAGAATACATTGACATATATTCCAATAGCTGGGGGCCTGGGAACTTAGGCTGGGAAGTAAAAGGTCCAGGACCGCTGGCCAGTAAAGCTTTAGAACTTGGAACAACAACGGTATTGTATACTGACAGAGAATGAACAGAACTTTCACCATTTTGTCGGCCTCGTGTCGTGTAGTTTGGTAGATGTTCTGTCCATCCTCGTCATTCCTTTTGAATTACGTTTAAGCCCATAGTCGTGGCATACTTTAAATTTTGGGGAAGGTTCCCTTTTGTGAGGTTGAGTCGTTGTTCATCGAGTGCTTTCGAATTGATGAGGTTCCTCTATGAAAGCGGTTAAAAGGTGTTACCGTAGTTATATAGGCACTGAAAAAAAATGTAATATCTGTGGTGTACCTGAGGTAACAACATGATGATATCATAAATGGTACAGAGAACGACGAAGGTGACAATTGTAATGGCATTTCCAGAAAGGAAAGGGTAAAACGTAAGCCCCTCTCGTTACCAGAAATGTACTGCTGTTCCGGGCTTGGCCTGATGGCGTTGGGTTCATACACAAATAGATCTCGAGATACAAGCATGCTACGAATGGCTAGTTGAAGCCACAACATCCAAACTAAAGCGTCGTTGGAATCCAAAACATGTTCGCTTTTCCATGCTACTGAGGCCATGTAAAGCCTTGTCTTTTGCTGATAACTTGATTTCTTACTTTTTACTCTCTTTTTGGGAGGTAAAGACTCATTTTCAGTACCACTGTCTTATTTGTGCGCTTTTTTTGGCTTCACAGTAGTTACAGTCTGAATTGATAGATGTAACGTAAAATACAATTTATCAAGTGAGGAGTATACACGTGGATTTGTGATCAGTTACCGCACTTTTTGGAAGTTCTACAAACGTTTATGCCTTGGACTTTGTTTAAATCTAGGGTCGTGGTGGCCTGGGTGCCATCTACACGTTTGCGGCTGGTAATGGAGGCCTAGAGGGAGACAGTTGTGCATACAATGGTTATGTAAATAGTATATACACCATCGCTATTACCGGTGTGAATCATGATGGATCCCTGCCCACCTACGCTGAAGAGTGCCCCGGAATAATGGCCACCGCTTATAGTTTGGATTCATACAAAAACAAAAACTTCAGGGATTCAGACAAACACATTATTGTGAGTGGAGTGAAACAAAACTGTCGTTAGCCAAACAGTTATGGAAATCCTATTACTTACGGCGATGTAGAAGCAAATAACTTTACCTAACTTTCCATTTGCGCTATTTGTTAATATTCTGGTTGTCCTCTCCAATGTTTTGCTAAATTTTCTGTTTTTGTTTGAAACTGAACAGTCCTGTCGCATTATTGACCAATGGTTTATCTTATACTGTTAGACACATTGGCCTCATCTTACCTCACGAGAAAGTTTACAGACAAGTATAAGTTCGCCTTAAAATCGACTTAACCCAATGTGGGATTAATATAATCGCATAACCTCCCTCGTAGCACCTATGGTATAAGTTCTAGGAGCTACAGGCTTCTTAAACATATCTATTTTTCTCTTTTAGTTTTGTCATATGAATAAATATAAGCAGTGCTTAGCGACTGTTTTAGTTGTGTAGCTGATTCAGTTTTAAATATCATTTAGACGACTGCCGATAACAAGAAAGGATGTGTTCATAATTTCTCGGAATCGTCAGCGGCTACAGCAATCGCATCAGGATTGACTGCACTCACCCTGCAAGCAAAGTAAGATTGTTACGTCTTTGACTTAAACTTTAGAGGGAAGTGGCTGAACAGAAAATGATTTACCCTTTTCCTGTGGACCACTAGTCAGGAGTTTGGAAAAAGAACAAGGGGAATGGCTGAGTCCAAGGTGCTTGTGACCCCTTTATGTCGAGACAAAGTGAAAATTGGTTATGCCACTAAAACACTAGTGTAATCCCCGACCCAATGGAAATCCTGCCCATGCAACAGCTGAGATTGTACATATATAACCACGACTGCCTTTATATGGTGGCAGAAGCCTAAAAAGGGGAATTCATTTAGTCAGTGAGAGTGAGCTTCTTCTAGCCGTAATGAATTTGAATAATTTCCTAGATGGGCCAGAACAAAATTTGAGTGCAAATTTCCATTATTAACAATCAGCTAAAAGATAATATTTTTGCAACGATGGAGTTCCTGTTGTTATCGGAGCAATGTTGTCTCTTATTTTGACTCTTAAGGTAAACTTCATAGCTGGTCTTTGATATTGTATGGTACATCATCCCCTCCACTCAAACCCAGAGTCGAACAGGACATCCAACGAAGGAATGCTGAAAGCACAAGAAAGGAACTTTCACCAACATCTAGACCAACCAAACCAGGTAGCTTAATCTGTTTCTTGTTGCCCTCGAAGGTTTGTTTTTTGTTGCTGTTGTTGTTGTTGTTTTTTCTTTTTAAGTAATGACACTCATCATACTTAGCATGGGTAAAGGAAAGTTGCCCAATGGCTTCGTGGGACACTGAACTTCTCTCTGATTAGGTAGTTTAGAACCAAATTATCATTATTATAGTAATTATTGTTATTATCATTATGATTGTCAATATCATTCTTCTAATTATTATTATTATTGTTATTATTATCCTTATCATAATTAGTATTATTATTATTATTATGATTGTCAATATCATTCTTCTTATAATAACAAAATCTTTATTCAATACTCATAAAAAAGACCTATGTACAGTGCTTCACTTAAAAAGAATTAAATTTGTACCTTAACATCTGTTAGAAAGAAAAGAAAAAATCATAATGTCTCAATATCTCTTGAACTATAATCCACGAAAATGTTTCTCTACTAATTATTATTACTATTACTATTAGCAATCACTACCAATATTTAACATCTTTTCACTAATTCCTCTTTAAAATCTGCCACGGTTTCAACATGAACCAACAACGATAAAAACATTAAATAGTAGTAATAAATAAAATGCAATATTCAATATCTTTTCTCTAAATAAAAATCTAGCGTCCTAAAAGTCCTGCTAAAGATAATAATAATAATAGTAATAATGAAATAAAAAGATGTATAAAAAGATATATATGAAGTAAGGAAACACATCAATAGTCCGATTTAATGGCTCCTTCAACAACTTCGACGTCGATATCAACATTCTTAATGTCACATGGCACTCTTCTTGTCCTAGAGCCTCGAAGACAAACCAACGCAGATCTCAAGAGTGCGAATGAGGTTCTGGTTTTGATCCATGAGATGGTTTTGGCATACTGCTCCCCTTTTTTGATGGCAATCAGCTGTGCTAAACGGCTATGATACTTCAAGCACTCCTTTCCCATTCCGCCAGTCGTGTCGAACACCAAAGGTGTAAATGTTCCATGCTCAATGTCCAGGACTCTCTCTGAGTAGAGACGCTTTTTCTCGTTTTCATGGAGACGATAAATTTGTTGTGGCTCTAGGTCCCTATACGATACAGCATTAGGGTGACAGACCCTCACATCGAAGAATGCTGATCGATGTCGCTCCCAGAAACCACGCGCGTGGATATCTAACCTCGCATCCTGAGCTTTGTTAGATCCGCTGTTTAAATGTTCGCCGGAGATGTCTTGAAGTACTGGTTCGATCTCAACATCGCTACACACCATACTCAGAAATTCAGCTTCGAGATCTCTTAGCTCGTTGTGGCGTTGAGTAATAAAACCTCCTAGTTTGCAAATCATAGAGTGATCAACCGTAAAGGCTGTTGAAGTCCTAAATGTAATAACTGTCCTAAATGTAATAAAGTCCTAAATGTAATAACGTTCGGTCCTAAATGTAACAAGCCTCCTATGCAATCTTTTAACTGCGCTAACATTGAGATGTCAAAGTGACAGCTGTTGCACCAAAGAATCCTCTGACCAACATTCATGGAATATTGCGGGCTCACTGATATTAATCAGCGTCTTTTTATTTGCTAAAGACGTAGGTTGAGAAACATTGGTTACAAAGCCTTATACTGATACTGATGTGCTTTTGGCATCAAATTGACGGACGCAAAAGCAATGAGAACGTTGACCAATAGCTGTCTTTATATCATTGGCTCAGACTCTTAAGTGTAACAGATTTTAACGATATACTTCTGTCATCTGTGCTGAAGTTAACACTTCATGAACCGAATTATAAGGAAAAGGAAGTCCACCGACTTATACCTTAGACAAATTCTGGGCTCGGAAGGGCATTTTTTGTACTGTCTTCCCTTGCCAAATTTGTACGGGTCTGCATAAAATATATTCATATGCGTTATTGACCAAGAGTGAGGTCAAAATGGCTGGATATTAGCCGAGTTCCTTTTTTTTTGCGTTTTTATGGACTGAGACGAAGTCTCGGTCCATAAAAAAGTAGAAAAAAACGAGGCTAATATCCAGTAATCTTGACCATACAAGCTTGGTCAAGAAAGTTTATATTCTCTTGGCTTAATCATTAAAGGATTCATTGTATAGCAAAAGATTTCACTTTGATAAGAATCAAGAATGGCCCGTTTATTTCGAGAGCCGATAGTGAAAGCCAGCTGTGTTTGCAGCACAATAAACTCAGGAGGATCGTTAATTTCTTTTTTTTTTATGTATATGCAAACATTGTCCAAAAGTTACGAACTTTGTAGGTTTTCTTGCGTGGGATCAATACGGGGAATCCCGAGGGGGCGAGGGTGGGCCCATCATGCCCGCTCACGTAGCCAATCAGAACACAGGATTCACTTCATTTTGCCCGCGTGCGCTGCTAGCTATATGATAAAGTGACTTACAGAGCAAGATATCTACTGACCA